TTATAATTGGGGTAACTCCATTTAGGGTACTTATAACTCTACTTAAAACCTACTTACTAAGTCCCGTGCCCTTCCAAGTAGGGGTTGGTATTTTGGGTACGCGAGTAACTGGGTCGAAGATCGGTGGCTTAGCTTTGTCGGGTTAACTTGTATAATTCAGGATCGCTTCTTGTGGACCTACCCGTGCAGAGGAGTTTCCATGCAGCATGACAATCGCACTCTATGGGAACGATCCATGCCGTGCAATTACATTAACACACACATATCTAGCTAGGGTAAAGGATGGCTGCGTCCAAGCTCCCGATTCAATTTGAAGCCAGCCAGTCATTGAAAAGCCGCAGCAACCACAGTCGCAAGAGTCCACAAAGTTCCAGGGAAACCTCGGTTCGGGTTCGATGAGGAAAACAATAGACCCCATACAGTTGGAAACCGGATTAAGACCAACCAGTGCTGGGATTCGGTATGTATATATATATATATATATGTATATATATATATATATATACGTATGTATATATATATATATATATATATATATATATACATATATTACTTTCAAGGGTTGAGGCTAATTCAACTCTTGGCAGGTTCTACTGGCTTAAGAGGTCATGCCCAAGCAGCATTGGGAGCAACATCATCGTCACACGTCGCACGCAGGGCTGTTGCAATTTGGATTGAAGGAAAGAGGAATTTCGGGTGGTTTCACACCCTTGCCGCCGAATCCCGACGCAAACGAAGCTGAAAGACTCCCAAATTGCGACGACATGTTTGTGCGACCCCGCAGTCTGAGTTTAAGGTTGGAACGAGGAAGCGATAGACCAAGCGGCATGTCATGCATTGCGTCCTTGTAATAGTCCGACATGCTCTGCTTGATCCATGACAAACATGCGAATCTTCCGGTCCGAGTATCGATTTGGCGGAATACCACTTCGTAATCGAGGAGCTTTGTGGCCTGTAAGTTTGGGATCTGTATTCTTTCAAGTTAAGGGGCTTCAGGATTTCGTGTGCTTAGCGATTGAACCTAGTGGCTTGAAGACTCGGCTTCAAGATTTCTTATTTGGGGAACTGCTGCATTCTGTGCATCTCCGTGCACACGCTTGGTCTTGCTTTGTGAACAAAGTATTTATCAGCATCGCCATTGAACACCACGTATAACCCAAGCCTATCTTCATCCATGCATACCAGGCGATGATCAAACGCCATCGAGCCGAATCTGTGGTTGTATCCCTGGGACAATTCGGTGCGCCGACTCCGAAGCAGGCATCCCTCTTACAGTGTATAGTTGCAGGTTCATAATGCGGCACCGCGCTACACATGTGAGTTCAGGTCGAACTGGTCGGTACAGCACCGTGGCTTATCCATATAGCGGATGCTCAGAGTGCAATCTCGAGGCCCGGAACTGCAAGCTTCATCCCAGACTCTATATAACCCTAACGCAAAACCCAAACCCGAACAAAGCAGGACGCAACTGCGTAGAATCAAGAGCTTCATGAAGTACGAGACACACCGCCCGTTTCGGGATGCTGCTGGCAAGCAGAGATCGGTGCCTTCGATTGCAGATCGTTTGTTCCAGTTTGGAATCCAATGAGACGTGTGTAGCTTCTCTCGATTACACTGTGCACTCTGAGACCGGTGGGAAACACCTATCTGATACAGCGCAGTATCCTGGTCGATTCGGCATGCGTGCTGCTAGCAAAGCATTAATGTTCTTCTCGTGGCCACGTCACACGACCGGCATGCCCACCTCGATAGAGCCTCCAGGTTGGCGCCATCATCAAGCAATTCCTGGACGAGCTTCCAGAACATCAAATATTCGTGAAGGACGACCAGGGATGTGTCTTTCAGGACACACAGGACGGCTGTGATTCTGATAGCGGGCTAGATGAGATTTTGAATGGGCCGGAAGGCTAGGAGGTTCAGCACCACATGCCCAGCAAACTCTATATTACTCTATATGCAACACCTACCTCCTTGGATTCCAACTGCGCAAAGCAGTTAGTGGATGTCGTGGACTGCAAGCCTGCCTGGAAAAGCAGATTCTTATTCTTTTCTCTTGGTACCGTTCAAGCTCGTGCAAATATACACATGTGCACCCACGTTGTTCCCAGCACCATTGCACGCATGCCCCCCTCCACCCCCCCACCCCCGCACCCACCCACCCACCCACCCACCCACCCCCACCCACCCACGCACCCACCCACCCACCCACCCACCCACCCACCCTCCACCCTCCATTGTAGATATATACATACAAAAGTATATATACATATGGTCCTATACCCCAACCTACTTGTACCTGTACCTACCTATACCTACCTATACCTGCTTTCCTACCTACCCACTATATACCGCACACATGCGTATCTGTACTGGTCTTATAGCTACCTACACTAGCTCTAAAACCCACCTATACCTACCTACGGTTGTGCTCCTTTATCTATGTTTGCTAGTGTGCATGTGTACATGTATAGGTATGCATGCGTGGATGGATGTAGTGTGTGAATGCTTGCGTGCCCCCATGGTTGCCACGGGTACAAATCTGTCGTATATAGAAACCATGGAATGATTATCCCGGATGCACCAGCAGTTCTAGGAAGTTTGAATCCGAGGACATGACCGTGTAGTTGCGTGTACGTGCGGGTTTGGGGGCACCGGGGTCAGATCCGAAATTCTTGGAAGCCGGCCGGAGCGTGTATTTGCGTGTATTTGCGTGTCAGTGGCTCTATATGAGCCCTAAAAACGTGTATCTGCGTGTACCTCCAAAACCAGGCTGAACACAAACCTTTGGGTCGCCGTGTCAATTCGTGTATCCTGCTGTTGCCAACTCATGGTCGCCGATCCGAGATTCCTGGCAGTTGTGCTCGATTTAAAGTAGTGATCGATCGCATCCCCGCTGGTTGGAAAGACCCCATGGCTCCGACGAAAGCAAACTTCAGGTGGCCCTCCAACCCTTCGTCTTCCGAGGAGTGGGTTTGGAGGCCTCGAGATGGGCTACCAAACGGGGTATGGGTTCTTAAGGCCGCCCTTAGGGAAGGGGATGCAAGCGAAGAAGGCCGAGGCAAGGGAAAGTCAAAGGGACAGGTAAGTGGAGCCAGAGAAGTGAAGGGCAAAGGAAAGGGAAGTGAAGCCAAAGGAGACAAGGGCAAAGGAAAGGGAAGTGAAGCCAAAGGAGAGAAGGGCAAAGGAAAGGGAAGTGAAGCCAAAGGAGAGAAGGGCAAGGGAAAGGCAAGTGAAACGGAAGAAGAAAGCAAAGGAAAAGGACAGCTTGCCAAAGGAAAGCATGGCTTAGGCCCGATCAAATATTCGGTTTGGTGAGTGTTTACCACGTGTTTGCAGAGTGCCTTGAAACTTGCGGTTTGAGCCTATAGAGATTCGAAAACAGGCAAAGGAGAGGGAAAGACTGCCCTTAACACAAAGGGTGACAAAGGCAAGGGCAAGAGTGCCGAGGCTGACCACCCAAGCAACAACGCTGCCGAAGCCACACTCACAGAGGGTGACAAAGGAAAGGGAAAGGGAAAGAAGGGCCAGAGCACCAAGGGCTGCGCGGGAAAAGGAAAGGAGACACCAAGCACCGAGGCTGACAAAGGAAAGGGAACGAAGGGCAAGGGAAAGGGAAAGGCTGCCCCAAGCGCCGACGAAAAGGCAAAGGAGTCGCCAAGCACCGAGGCTGGAATCCCTGGAAAGGGAAAGGGAAAGGAGGCCCCAAGCGCTGAGGTTGGAAAAGGAAAGGGAAAGGGCAAGGCGGCCCCAAGCGCCGCGGCTGGAAAAGGAAAGGGAAAGGAGGCCCCGAGCACCGAGCCTGGAAAAGGAAAGGGAAAGGCGGCCCCAGTAACAGGAAAGGGAAAGGAGCCCTCAAGCACCGAGGCTGGAAAAGGAAAGGGAAAGGAGACCCCAAGCACCGAGGCTGGAAAGGCAAAGGGAAAGGCCGCCCCGAGCACCGAGGCTGGAAAAGGAAAGGGAAAGGCGGCAGTAAAAGGAGGCAAGGGAAAAGGACACCCAAGCGTCGAGGCTGGCAAAGGGAAGGGAAAGGAGGCAAGCACCGAGGGTTGCACGGGAAAGGGAAAGATTTTCCCTGGGGGGAAAGATTAAAGTTATCCCTGGCACCGAGGTTCACACAGGCAAGGGAAAGAACGGCGCGGGAAAGAGCAAGGCCAGATGCTCCGGGTTATCATTCCGAAAATATCACCCAATGTAGTTTCTTGGAGGATCGAATGCCTACCGATGCCACTGTCGAGTGCTCATTAGACACGATATCACAGTCCATGGTGTGTGACCTGAGTGCATGTGACATGAGCATAGTAGATCTACCGGTTTTTATGTATGTCATATCTACCCACCGCTCTAGGTCGGAAGCCCTGCGGAGATCTCTACACCCCCGGCGAAGCGGCGGCGATTGGATGATGTGGCCTCTGCTGAGAAGTCTTCTGAGAAGGTATCTTCGCTTCGGGATTTGAGCCGTGAGTGCTTCAGCAACCTGACAAAGGATGCTTTCGTGTGCCCCCTCACCGTCTTGGAAGAAAGGTTTCCCTATGCCTGGGTTGGCGATGATGTCCGCATTCGCAAGAAGAACATTGAAAGCCACCCCATCTTCCAGGATTACATGGAGCACAACAAGACTCTCCAAAGCCCCTTCCAGTGGGAGATGTGTACCAATGATTGTATTCCGCACCTGCAGAACTACAACAACTTCCTGCTGCAGCTGCTGAACCCGAAGCCTGGCACCCTGAGCCGACGTGACACAGGCCGGCAATCTTGCTGCTTTTACAGTTGTCTAACAAACCATACGACCGCCCCCCCCCCCCTTCCCTCGCCCCCCCCCCCGACCTGCCCCCCAACACACCCCCCACTCCCAAAATACAATCGCGCACGCCCGCATTCACCCACACTCATACCCCGCCCAGCCCATACCCATACCCCTATATTTACCTGTTCCCAGAGCATTATATGCCTGTGCCCAAAACCGATACCCGTTCTTACACCCTTGCATCCAGGCCTCAGCACCACGAGTGCGAGCCCGACACTGCCAGCATCCTCGCCGAGCCCCTCGGAGCCACCGCCACGGTCCTGGGCTGAGAATTTAAATTCGGGCCAAGCTCTATCGACTCTATCGGTTCCTAATTCCAGGCCGACGAGAATGCCGAGACAGTTGTCATCCCTCACCGTCACGAGCAACGGTGACGGCGCGACGGAAGTTGGGCCTCTGGGGTTGAAAGATGAGAAAGGTCAGGTGAAAAGGGTCAAGGTGCTGTCGCCTGAGGAGAAAGAGGCCATAAAGGCCGGGTTTAAGCTGCATCAAGAGCATGACGAAGATCTTATCATGCACGATGGTCGGTCTGCAGGCCATGACCCACCCCAACCAGATGGATGCAGGGGAGCGGAAGCGTCAGAACGAAGCACTCCGACGCAAGTTGCTCGGTGGAGGCCGATCACGTTTCAGCCACTCAACATAGAACCACTAATTTATCCCTGACCATTGCAGGACTCAAGCCGGGACTCCTCGAAAAGTATCAGAACTGCAGCGGCACCACACAGAAGCCAGCACCTCAATCGGGCTGTCATGCAACACAGAAGCCCAACTGGATCACCCTGCAGGTTCGAGTTTTTGAAGGCGTTCATATTGGACCCCGACATGGAAAACATCGATGTGGAGCCTTGCTTCAAGGAGTGACTTGGATGGCACTCAGCACCACAGACTGAACAGCAGCATTGATTCGTTCTGCAATAAGGATGTCGGAGCGCAAAACGGCGGACGTGTTCGTGGAATTGCCGCTAGAGGAGCTCAAGAAGTCCTACACGAGCCCGGCCCAAGTTCGTTTTTTGACCGACGTCATCTTAAAGCAGCCAGGGCGGCCGCACCCACAGGACTGCTCTTCACATACACATGCTCATGCAAGCGTCAGTGTGCAATTCAATGTGATCGCGAGGATCCCTCCAACAACGAGATGCGCCTCTACAAAGTCTACCAGACTGGAGTGGACAAAAGCCCCTCGGCTCAATAATCCGAAAGCGGTCCGAGTGTTGATTTCTTGTAAACATACGAGAGTGTACCTGAGGCTCGAATGTGTCGCAGCTTTCAACCAAGCTGCGTGGCACGGCGCGGGTCGGGAAGAATGCTGCAGCCAGAAATGCCCTGGCGGAGTCCTTGGCAAGCAAGTGTGCAGAGATGACGAAAAACTCCGGCAAGACTGACAAGCAGCCAAAGACGAAGAAAGACAAGAAGGCCTTACATGTCACTTCGTATATGCATCGCTAGTGTCAAAGCCACGATAACTTGTACCATCTTTGTCTCCACGCCGTCATTGTGATCATCGTCCGAAGTCCGAAGAACAGCATATCATCCTAGGCGCTGCCAGATTGATTGTTTGTCGTCTGAGCTTTTTAAAGTAGAGCCTAGGATCTACGAAATTCAAGCCCATACCCTAAGAACGCCGGCTCCAATCCGGCATCAGCTGGGAAGCCACAGCTACTTCTGTCGCTTTTCCTACTAGACTACATCGGCCCTCCGTTTTGTTCCGTGTGAACAGGAGCTTACGCACGACGAGAAGCAGCAGAAAGAGTTCGATCGAGATTTGCAAGCGTGCCCTGACTTTGACAGCCGTGCTCGAGTCGAATGCTTTGTGCTGGATGTCGTGATGAATGCCTCTGAGGGTGCATGCTCTGGCCAGCAAAGCACGCGTGACTGCGAAGAATATCATTGATGCAAAGCTCCTGAACCAGGAGGTTTCACCGGCCTCCTTTTCGGAGTTTTTGTGTGCCTTCACATATTCAGCTGCATGCAGGCTACCGTGCAAAGCTTGAAGTCGGTCTATGGGCAGCTGATGGAGCTGCATGCAAGGCTTCCTGTTTGCAATCCTCGTGTTTAAGTCGGTCTGGAGCTTGCCCTGGAATTGAAAGGGCTGTTGCTGCTACAGGGTCAATGAGATGATCTTTAACGGCGGCACCTTCGAGAACTATGCGTATGTCTTGAATACGGAGAAAGAGCGCTGTGAGGCGCCGGACTGTAGACTGTTGTGCGACAAACTCCCAAATAATCCTACTTAAAGGATCATGGGACTTAGTAAGTAGGTTATAATTGCCCCTAAGTGTAGTTATCCTAACTATAACCTACTTATAACCCTACTTACTGAGTCCCATGATCCTTTAAGTAAACCTGAACTATAGAGACAGGCCCTGCGTCGTAGGTTCGTCGTATACCTATACAAGTTAGGAGGAAAAATGTAAACACCAAGAGCAAACCCTAAGCCCTTCATGCGCGTAGACCCCACATGCTAAATCCCCACATGCACCACGGCCTTACACAAACCCCATGAAGCCTGCTGAAGACCGAACGTCCAACCCCGAAGCCCGAAAGACCCAGGTGTAAGCTGCATCCAAGCCAAAGTTGCAGGACTTCGAGAAGCAAGTCGCGTCAGCAGAAACCATCGTCAAAGCCCACGAGAGCCGTCTCATCCTCAGCTGGGTGTACTCATGCATGTGTGTTGCTATCGGATCGAGTTTGTTCTCACAATTAAGGGGTCGCGGCCGAGAAGAGAAAGCGGGAAAAGGAGAAGAAAGAGGAAGAGGAGAATGCAAAAAAAGCGAAGGCCGAGGATGAATGGGCAGCATGGAACACCGGAGAAACCGAAGATTGGGGTGAGGAGTGGGAGGAAAATGCCTAGGCTTCTTTATCGAGCATCGTCATGAGTTTTCAAGCTGTAAGCTTGGTCGGGTAGGATTGTTGGTGCACTGCTTGCTGATACCTCTAAAACATCCCGAGGCTGCATGAATCAGGCAAGTGTCGCAGTGTCATCGATGTCAGCCGATCGCGCCGTGCAGAGTCCTTGATTGAGGATCGAGTGTGGTGGTTTTCAGTGTATATTGAACCCCTTTAGACAGAGCAAATTGCCTCAATTGCCTATCGAGTGCCCCAGAGTCTACAGCGAACTACTTTCCGCCCTGCTGCCACAACTCGATCCCGGTCGCAAGCGAGTTAGAGCATCCAAGAAACATCGGATGCCGATAATGTTCGAGGCGCAGCCTGTTCAATGCTAAGCATTGCAGCAGGGTTTAGCAGGCGTCTGGCATCGATCATGTTGGTTGCCTGAAGACTCCAAGCTCCATCTGTAGAAGCCAAAGCCACCAAATCATCAGGTTCAACACTGAGGAATTGTCACTGCCGGAAGAACATTCTACTTAAACTTCTCATGGTTTATCACCGTCACCATGACCATCATCAAGCGAGGCATCTTCAGTGTCAAATCCAGCATGCAATGATGCTGGGAGGGGATATGCCCGCAAGCTGCCGCAGGCTGCTCCTAGACTTTAGACGAGTGCGCACTGCCGGTGCAAAGAGTGTGTGGCTGTCTGTTGTCGCTCCTAGAGATAATTCGAGGAACTTCGCCAGCGATGTGATGCCTCGATCATCCGTGGCTTGAAGACTTTAGTTCCTACTCCATTGTATTAAAGGCCTATGTAGATCCCACACCCGAAATGTTCGTGCAACTATCTAACCCAAAACCCACGAAACCTTAGATGAACCCTGAAGCCCGAAACCTCATTTTCATATCCTGCCTCTGTTATATCCGAATCTCCAAGATCATACAAGGTTAGTCTTCCAAACCTAAACATGTGAGCACTGTGAACCCTTTCAAATGTGTCAGCATGTCGAAAGCCCAATGGGCTACGCAGCTCGTCCATGATACAGTCAATGAGTTTTTCGAAATGCTGGGAGCTGGTGAGGCTGGACAGATCGAACATATGTGTTTCTGAAGTATAGACATGGTATGCTGCAGCAGGTCCCAATGGAAAGACTCAGATCCTTGCTGAGTCACGGTCTCAGCCATCTCGCATGTACTCGAAGATCCATCCTGATGCTGAGGTCGTTTCAACAATGTGCCGTATTATCTTATACCGAGACTTGTAATGCAATGACTCACGTTGTGCGTGAAAGCTGCCGAACTGAACTTGCTTTGTGGATCCAAGGCAAGATGTTGCGCGGTTATTGGAGATTGTGCAAGCTGCTGCATCATCTCGAGGTCTAGGAAATGCACTGGCAAAGTGGATCAATGAGCAGCCCTGGCGAATCTCGAATGCAATATGCCATGCTATCCCAGGTTGCGGCGCAGTGCAACAAGTCTCATGGTTGTATATATGCTTGCCTTATGTGAGGGCAAGTCCTACCGCAGAACTATTCGATGACAGTCCCCATCGCTGCTTGGACTAGAACCGTGGTGCGAAAAAATTGTCAACCTCACAACACACACTAGAATACCGAAGTTCAAACTCGGAGCCCGACGCGCGGTAGACTAAGAATCTTCTATGTGCCGGCCCTGAATTTTTCTATGTATGATCTTAAAAGAGCGTATTCAGCTGAGGAGCGCCTCGATATGCACGGCCGAGCGATCCCCGACACGCAGCAGCACGAGATGCTATTGCCTCACGAGGTTGTCGGCCGGCTCTATGCTTCTGGGCTCATGGACCTACTCACGGGAGATGCTGATGAGTCCTGTCTGTGGAGTGATGGCTTATATTTGGTACCGCACTCTTCTGCAGAAGCAACACTAATTTATAGGCGGTGCAAACCAATCTTGACTGATCGATCTATGTGGTGTAGTGTGCTTATAAAGCCCACTAGTCGATGATAACTAAATGCATGTTGGGGCAGCAGCAACTTGAGGATGCCAGGCGATACTGGGAAATGGAACGGGACACCGAATGGTTCCGACAACATCCTGTGCTTTCCGCTGGTGTCGACTTGAGCAAGTGCATCCCACTGCGCCTCTATGGTGACGGCGCCGAAGCATTCCGAAACCCAGCATGCATGCAAAGTGTGTGATCGATGGCTTCATCCTCTGCAGTTGGGAAATTCAGGGTTCAGGATTTTTGCCTTGTGTGATATGGCGACCCTGTTTGTAAGAAAGCCAAAGTCTGCGGTCGGCCCACGCATGATCTCATATAACTCAGCAAGCCGAGGATCTCACAAGTTCGAAATCCTAGTGCTGCAGAGCGTTCTTGGGAAGTCTTCAACAACTTTGAACAATCGCTGGTTGTCTCTAGGCAGCACTGTTAACGGCGGTCATGTGGGTCCATGTCCACCTGTAGAATGTGCAGTTATTCTGAGGCTCTCCTGTGCGAACGCTTCATTGCACACAGCAGCTGCTCGGAACAAGATCCTTCAGGTTCTGGCATGGAGCTTCAATGCTCTTAGCTTCCCGGACGGTTATATATCGATGCCACATTAACTGCCTGAACTACACAATAAACTCTGGACTTTGGTAACCATGGCCGAGACTCCAAGGCTCAGTCCAAACATTCAATCCACAAACTTTTTGAGAATAGTCTCCTACAGCAAAAGTATCATTGCTTATGATTCTGAGTCCTGTATCTGGTTACAGATATCTCACCACACTCGCAATGTTCTGGATTTGGACGGGTTGCAATATATTCGTCGAAACAATCTAAGGCAGCTCTACGTATCCCTCAGTGGATGCATGGGGCAACCCGCTGGAGTCTGGATTGGCAGGCACGAGAATCGCGGGAGAGTATACTTTTGTGCTGGATGGCGTGCAAGCCGACCAAGATTATCTCAAGATTCTCTTCGATTTACAGCGTGTATTTTCGCGGCAGCAATGCTGTCACTTTTGCAAAGCAATACAGTGGGTGCGAGCCGACATGCCGCCGACGGGAGACAACGACCCGGAACTCCTCTACACCCGCTGGGGGAGGACTGCTGCACATCGCCACACGCGCCTCTGCTGGGATTCTGTTGCGGGGATATTTACGTAGAGTCATGGGCCTTGTTTCCTTATAAGTTCTGCTGTTTCAAAAAATGTAGAACTTCATCGAAAAGAATTTGGAAATAATTGTGGTTTGGTGGTAATGTTTCGAGGCTTGTGAATGTCAACGAGTTCATCGGCTTGAACGGGGCTACACCGCTCACGAGCATCGTTGGGTTTGATCCTTGGAGTGCCTGGCCTGCGTTCCGGTGTGTAAAGCGATGTCAGCTCGCTCGTGAATTTTCAACTGTGTGTCGTGTATCTCGATGCAGTTCAGGACTGTACCCTGACGTCATGCACATTCTCCACTTAGCCGTGATACCGGATGTGGTCGTTTCGGTTTTCTTGGAATACACGGATGATGAATCGATTTTCTCTGGAAGAAAACGTGATGATAGGTTGGAAGAGCTGTGGCAGCTCTACAGGTCATGGTGCGAAGATGGAAACATCGTGGAGCGAGCGCAGAGGAAGCTCTTCAGTACGGCTATCCTCAAGAACAATCAGTATGTCGAGATAAGTCAAAAAGTGATGAATGCCACAGCTTGCAGATACATGATATTCTTCCTCGCTGTTTTGGGCGAGATGGCACTTCAGAAGCTGGGGCAGCAAGCTAGCAACTTCCACTACTGGATTGCAGGGGTTTGCTGGGCGTTTGCGTCCATGGAGCGAATCATGTTGCATGGCGACCGGTTCTTGAATCGATTTGATTGTGAACGCTTCTACAATGACTACCTCGTCATGCGAGGAGGCTACAATCATCTAGCGCAGCGCGCCTTGAGCCTGCAACTGCCAAGATGGCATTGCAGGCCCAAATTGCATCAGTGGGAGCACGCTGTACTGGATTATCTTCCTCGCAACCCACGATATACCTCCAACTTTTTAGGAGAAGATTTCGTGCGACGTGCCAAGGCTCTAGCTCTCAGAAGCCATGCTAATTGGATGTCGCGGCATGTTCTGCTGCGCTATGTGTTGCAGTTCTGTTTGGCACGGCGGGAATGAAAACAGCTGAGTGCGACAAGTGCGCTGAGATCAGACAGTGTTCACATGTTTCTCCTTCCTCTCCTCTCGCTCCTCAGTCCTCCTCCTCTCAATAAGCTATACATATATATATATATATACATATAGATATATATATATATATATACGTATACTACATACATACTTCTGTATGCAAACATGCACAACATACTATATTCTCACACAGTTACAGATAAGACATTTTTTTGTAGCATATGTTTTTGATTTTACGCTGTTTGGCTCAAGCTCAATTTTGCTTCCTCTTTTGGC